CAAACGCTCTTGACAGGTCGCAAAACACTACACCAGTTATATCCCTGTTATCTATGGATTGAATCCAGTCTTCTACCACAGAGTGAAGAGCAGTCTCACATGAGTGTTGTTTACGAAAACCAGACTGAGAAGGTGTTAGTAGCCGCTCCATGCCAAGTTTGAAGCGAATCCATCGAGCCGAACTTAAATAAATCGAAATTTACTGGTTTTTTTCTCTTCTTGGCGAACGCCCACTTTACTTCCGGGTTCGCTGCGAACGCCCACTACTCTTTGCAAAATTTCGGCCCTCGCGCAACGCCGGCAAAATCCACCACCACAAATATGTTCCTATATGCTTCCCCTGAATTTCTGACACGTTTCCGTGCTTTACGAGCTTTTAAAGTACCCATTTTTTGACAAAATATGCGCTGCGACGAGCTCGCCGCCTCGGCGTATACGTTCTACCTGGTCACATGACTTGCGGTCGGGGACTGTTCGATAATTTCATGATCAGCGGGAGGGAGGACAGGAAGGGCAGAAAAACGCAATCTACCGCAAAAAAGGGGCAGAATTTCGTGTTTGTAACATCAAACATAAATGATTTCCTTTCTTACATAATTTTCACCTCGGTTCTAGTAGTGACACCGCCGAATAAAGTACGCACTTTTGAAAACTTTTCAAAATACAAAAAGTACCTTATTTGAGGTTTTCCCCGACAAATCCAACGACTACCGACGAATATAGCGAAAACCGGCAAGGAGAATTGCACTACATCGATTCGTACATAAAATGTCGGATGATAATGTTGACGCGTGAAAATAAAGTTAAACTTTAATAAATGAACGTATTTCATGTGTGTATCGTCGATATTGACACGAAGTTGCGGTAAAACGAGAAGACGCAAGGTAAGGTAATCTAGGTCACTCACGTCCCGGTGCTCGGTCATGCTGACGGGATGGTCGCCAGCCAGCCGCCGATATCTCAGTGGAACCCCGGCCGAAAATAAATACCCCCGTAAGTATGAACGCAATTATATTAAATAGATTTATGAGTGGTAAGATGGTAAGATTTAGAATGGTCCGCAAGTCGTCGTAACGTAGTCAATAACGTTACTAGTATAACATGACAGTTGTGCTTCAACCGATGGTCAGTGCTAATGCACTTTCGGCTATAGTTAAACACAGAAATCTTCAACAAATGTTATAGCCATGCCGTTACAAAGGTTCAAATGACACAAATCTTTTTACTTCGTATCACAAATCTATTTAAATATAAACAAATGCCGCAGAAAATTATTTTGTAGCGGGACTATACCAGCCAGTATTACGTTAAAATGATGGGTAGATGTACTAGGCATGGCCTTACAATGCTATCGATAGGGTTTTTTGGGCGAAGTCTTTGAAATCTTTTGCTGCCCGCCGGTGGGTGGGGCCCATGCGCGTGCTGCTGTGGGCGTGACGCCGCTGTGTCTGATCAGGACGTGCCGTCGTCTTGACAACACAACGTGGGAAGCAAGCGGCCAGAAGCGTTCAATGCTGGAAAGTTTTTATTCCTTTGATTTTGTGACATGAGCAGTAGTTTACTAAACGAGATATTTTTCAAAAACTCTTTCGCTCGCGTCTCAGCAGTCTCGTTGTTGTTTTGGGTTCGGTGTCAAATTTTGAATACGGTAGCACATTAAAATTCCCCGCCCGGTCGAACTTCTCCGCCTCGATCATTTGTTGCTCACTGATGGGGCGGTCAATCAGCGCGGACGTGGTTTACAACGAACGTGGCGAGCGGCGCCGACAAAAATTTAGGGCCCCCTCCGTACTGTAACGTTGCGTCTGTCTATAGTTCAGCAGAACAATTTTACAACATGGTAATTGGCGCCGGCGGTGTCACTACTAGACCCGAGGTGAAAATTATGTAAGAAAGGAAATCATTTATGTTTGATGTTACAAACACGAAATTCTGCCCCTTTTGTGCGGTAGATTGCGTTTTTCTGCCCTTCCTGTCCTCCCTCCCGCTGATCATGAAATTATCGAACAGTCCCCGACCGCAAGTCATGTGACCAGGTAGAACGTATACGCCGAGGCGGCGAGCTCGTCGCAGCGCATATTTTGTCAAAAAATGGGTACTTTAAAAGCTCGTAAAGCACGGAAACGTGTCAGAAATTCAGGGGAAGCATATAGGAACATATTTGTGGTGGTGGATTTTGCCGGCGTTGCGCGAGGGCCGAAATTTTGCAAAGAGTAGTGGGCGTTCGCAGCGAACCCGGAAGTAAAGTGGGCGTTCGCCAAGAAGAGAAAAAAACCAGTAAATTTCGATTTATTTAAGTTCGGCTCGATGGATTCGCTTCAAACTTGGCATGGACACCCGGGAGCACACTCTGGACATGACCACACAAAAAATTTTAAGATTCGTGCGACAATTTTGGGGCTTTCGTGGGCGTTCGCTAAAAAGAGAATGCGCTTGGATTGAAGAGAGACATTTCAGGTTGCATTATCTACATGTATTGACTATATCTTTCATGAGTGACTAAGAAAGTGACAAAGGGTAGTGGATACTATCTGAAACATCTGACTCTTCATAGAATTTATCAAGGTGTTGGAATCATCTTGTATTGCAATCATTATGTTTTGTTTTTACTGTATCAGTCTGTACGTCTAATCTTCATCAAAATTGGTTAGAATTTTCAAGCTTCACTTCGGAAAAGCAGAACGAAATAGACGACATTATGTTTAAAGCATTTTGGTATTTAAAAAATGATAAATTATGGTACCGCATCAATATGCTTAATTTATTGAGTGTTACAGTGTAGTAAAAAACTGTCAATATATGCTCAGGGCGGTAACAGTCTAGTGCTTGTTCCATCTTGTAATATGAAGTGCAAATTTACCATCAAGTACTTACACAGTACACTACCCTATTGTGTCCGTTTGCTGAATGACAGTTAAAGTAGTAGAACTTTAAGTCGTGATGATAGTGATTTTATTTAATTTTATAGTGATTTATGTCTTTGTTATTTCTGATTTGTAATGCATAATGCTGATAAGTATACGATTTTAGTGGGAAAAAAACGCAATTCAGCATTTTTGCTGCAATGGTTTTTGTTGTTGAATAAACCATTCTCTCTTACACCTGGTGGTTCCTACTGTAATTTTGTCGTTGAAAGTCAACCAATTTGTCACTCACATTCAATTTGTTGTATTTACAGACAAATAATTATACATTTGTCAAAAAACAAATATACTCAAACATTTCTTGTTTCAGACATTTTTTTTTGAAGCACATTGAAACAAATGCTACATGCAATCAATATATTGGTATCATGCTTAATTTATAGAGTGAAGTGTAGTAATACACAGTCAATATATGCTTAGGGCGGTATAACATACATGTACTTAGTACTTGTTCTTGTAATATGAAGTGCAAATTTACCATCAAGTACTTACACCTGGTGGTTCTTATTGTAATTTGGGTTGTAAAAAGTCAAGCTCAATTTACCTGGAGTGCTCCTCAGTAACTCAGCAAACTTCTCGTGCTCCAGTTTATTGGCCTGTTGTTTGGACGTCGTGGTTCCTTGTAGTTCGTACTTTTGGTTCTTTGTACTTCCATATACCTGTAAATGATAAACATTTCAGATGCACTGGCAAAAATCAGAGAGATTGACAAAATTACAGCTGAAAACAATGATATACTAACTTGTATAGTTACTGTATTACGCAATGAAAAATCATGTATATTAGAGAATTGAGCTGAAATTGAAAGCAAAAATAAGACAAAATGACTAATTCAGAAAGCTTCACTAACCTTTTCACACACCTGTATACATGTATGTTCGACGCAGTCTGGTCATTCAACAAAGCTAGATTTATCAGTCCCCTCTTCAACTTGTTCTTTGCAGCTCATAACTCCTTTCACCCCCTCCCTCCATGATATTAGACTCTTCCATGCCCAGTGTTGACCTTGTTAAGTGCATGAGATTAGTTGTTCCTTACGAAATAGGAAGTTTCTCTTTACTCCAATTTATTTTCTAAAGCCTGCTATCAGCAAATTGATGAGTTAAACCAAATTGATGTAAATGAAAACATAGTGATTTCAGTTTCACAGTTTTTGCAGTGAGCTCATACTGCAAATATGTCTTGTATTTCTCCTGTACTGCTGAATTGTACTACGGTATGAGGCTAATTAGATTGAATAGCTGAAGCATAATTCCCTTTTCCTTGATTGTTTCTTTATACACACCATAATAGAGTCCCCACATATTTTAAGATCCTAGAAGCAGTTGAGGTGTATTGAGTAAATAAACAAGATTTTCACAGACAAGACTTTAGTGTGTCTCTTCCAGATATACAAAATTTATTCGATTCTTGATTATCCAATGCAATGAAAATAAAATACAACGAAACTTAAACAGAACAGAAAAAATATATTCAATCAGTGGCAATTAACTCTCAAAAGAAAGTAATGTATAATACATACTGAAACACTTCAAATCTTACTTGACAATGTCTAATACTGTATGCCAAGTTCATGATAACATGGACGCTTTGTGGATACATTTGTAATTACTTGATACTAGTATGCTAAGGTTTGTTTTCTATGGAATCCGATATACCCTGGATATACACATGTCCCTGGCCAATAGGAACATATAAAGATTTGTACTGTAGCTGCTAAGAGGTTTGCATAGCTAGGTGCAAGTAGTTCTCACTGCCATGTAATGTACAGGACTGATCTTTCCCACATCTATAAGGCTAATGATAGACTCACTACAACTGCTTTTGAGGCACATTTTCATCCCTGTCATGCACATCCTTGTGCTTTTTAGCTACAATGTACAATCATGTAATGTGGAGTTACTGGCACTCAGATGGTTTCATGTTCATTTGTTACATGACAGTCCTGTCAAAGGCACATTCACATAGTACTCTTTACGCTGTTTCTTAATTCAAAGTGGCTTTCTCTTTGACTTTACCTCTACTTTTAACTTCTTGTAACTTTTTCTTCAATGACATTTAGCTATCTTGCTCCTGTCCATAGACTGAATACACTTTTCAAAACTTGCTGATATTCAAACATACATTGTCAAATACTAACTGTTACACGACACAATATTGCTTTAAGATACATTGTACTTCTTGTATTTCATTCTCACATTACTGTTTTAAACTGTGATGCCTAAATAGTACTTAGTCTAGAATATCAAAATGACTAGTACTTTCTTCTGCTACTGTACAGTGTACTATTCCAACTTGAGCCAAGAGTTAGTCTACAATCATCCATGTCCATACATTTCCACAAATATATAAGAAAATTACAAATCAATGTTTCATACATTTATGTACCTAGATGTAACTATTCATTGACAAAATTTAATGATACATATCATTATGATATGCTGGATACATTTCCAATATACTGATGATAATAAACACCTATAATTGAATTTCAAAATTAACAAATTCATATTTCCTACCATAAACAACGGAGCCTTGCATAATATAATTTCTTGCATAGGAAAAGGCCTTTCCTGAATTATAGGTTATACCACAATATACACATACAAGAGGTAAATAAGATATGTACATCAATTTTAACCATTTTAATACAACAAAATTTAGTAAGAATAACTGGCCTATTAAAAACCTAACTCTGAACATGTAACTGTATGATGGGGTATTCTTTGTGGTCATTGAGGGTCTGGCAGAAACTCTAATTTTAATTATTTAATTTGCACATTTTATAAAACTTTAACATCTTGCATTTGTTAACATTTTAAGGCTTGTGCTCAAGATTTTGATTTTCTTCCCTAATGATGAAATTACACATTTTTCCTGACTTAAGTCCTAAGGCCACACCAATTTAATTTGTTGGTTCTCGGATTCGCCTCTTCGTTTTTTTCTGATTTGCAAAAAAAAAATTTGATTCTGGTCCTGAATCAACTGAAAAATGCTCATTTTTGCCCTCCCAACAGTTGAGGAAAGTCCTTTTCTTCCTAGTTGTTACAGTTTTCCCATCTATCATTGCAGTGGTTTGATTAAAAGTTCAAAATTCAATGTTTAAATTTTAACCCAGCCTTTTGTGTTGACTTCATGGCTCATTTTGTAGCATTTAAGCCTATAATAGGATGCCTATACCTGTTTTTATTTTTATTTTTTTTCGCCCTGTCGCTTCATATTTTTTCTGAAAAATTCCGAGAACCAACAAATTAAATTGGTGTGGCCTAAATATAGTCATTACAACTATTACTGCAGCTATTGCTTCAGAACACATTTTTTAATACTCAGTGTTCTGAAAACTCAGCTCTTTTTAAAAGCATGGAACTGCTCATAATAATAATTCAGTTCTTCTCCACCCTAAAGCTTGTTACTAGTACTTTAGCCATTCAGGTATACATGTAGGTAATATCAAATCTTACACCAATTTCGATAGTTAAATCTCAAATGCAAACTACCACCCATCAATGAATTAACCTTAAAGGCACTGTCCTTAAGGTTTTCGTCTTGACTATACCTCTATTCCCCACTTGTTTCATGTACATGTTCCTTAATATATAATTATCATTAACTAATTAATTACTGTGTAAATTTCAATATACACAGCATCAGGATTCATTTAAGATTAAGGTTAGGAGCAAAAGGCCTCATTGCTGCGGATAGTAATACTATAGATCTTAAAAATAGGCACTGTATTTAAGGTTGGTCCCACTGACAATATTGAAGGTGTCCAGCACCTTTTTTTTTCCAGAAAAGCCACAATCAGATCATCAATGGTCCCTGATATTGCAATCAGTCTTAGAGTACCACGACTCACTACTGTTAACAGTAACTACTGGTTAACGAAAAAGTTTTTGTACAATACATCTGCAAGTAGGTACCTGTGAATAGTTTGAAAATTAAACGATTCACTTGGTACCTACTCTACTGTGCGATTTGCAGAAATTTTGGTCCCTCCCATATCTAAGGAATTGCATAGGGTACGTCATAGATTCTGAAATATGTGCAATAGAATACGGAGAGAATTCTAGAATAAAAATACAAGTTCTAGCGATTGCTTTTTTATCTCATAAGGCACAACTATATAGTCTAGATTATCTATTCTGAAGTTGATGCTTACTTCTTCAAATAGAAACAGTTTCAACTAAAATGGCTCCACTCCAGTTGAGTTGCCAAAAATTCTCATGATTGTCTTCATGTCTCTGACAGTTGAAACTGTTCTTGTTGGAAAGTATTGCCCAGGTGTTGTGGCTTTGCTGTCTGGATGTGTGGCTCACATTTCGGTGTCAGAAACTGCCAAAGGAGAGAGAGTTGAGAATTTTAGCAACAACGCAACAAGTTTAAAATTGAAAATGAAGGTTCATGCTAAAATACATGACTAAAAGTTAAGATTAAGAGGTTTTCAGAAGGCATCCACCATCATTCTTCAGTTAGTGAAGTGTCACTTAACCAAAATTTAAAAAACAAAATACATATCAAATGGTTTCATACTGAAATAAAATGCCATCATTCTGCAATACTGCAAGAACAAGCTGCAAGTAGTACAAAGAATTTTCAAATAAATGAAATAAAGAAAAGAATTAATGAATGAATGATAAAAAAAAGGATTAAAGTCAAATGCAAACCTTAACCCCCTTCCTACCATCATACCCTGATCAACTTTAGCTATAATGTTGCAAAAAGATGTAAGAAGCAGAAAAAGGGTTAAAGTTTGCAATTGACTGGAATACTGATTTAGAAGCAAAGTTGCATACCTGGATTTTACACATACAGCACTGGAGCAGCTAGACATGGCAGGGATCAACAGCAAAGGTCAGCAAAGGGTCAAGGTCAGGGCAAAGGTCGCAAGCCACGCCCAGTTCGAAAGCCAGTCATTTCAAAGGTCAGGTCAGAGGTCACAGAAATTAGAAGAGAAGTAGAGGACAGAAAAGCGCAATGCATATAACTTCTTAACACATACTCAGATTGTACTGGTGCCTTGTTGGTTGAGCACATATATGGCTGCATGAAAAATTCAGGGAAAACTAGTTCTTTACACTTGATCTGGACATTCAAATCTCCTAGTACATGCATTTTCCCTACATGTATGGTAAAGATCAACCATTCTTGGAATCCAAATATGTCCGAAGAGGTCAGTTAGTCAAGAAGGAGTCTTACTGTCAGCAAATTACAATGTATACCCCAATACCGCCAATTGTGAAATATGATTGTATTAGAAGACTCAAATAAAGACCAGCGCTGTTAACTTTACAAACAGAAATTTTGAATGATACACTGAACAGAAACTTAGCTACTCTGGGAAGCTTTCAAGATGCAGTCTGTCTCTTCTTCAACCCGATAAACTAAGATTTTGTCTTGGAGTTCTCTTGTCACGTAACTTGATGTTGATTATCACATGACAAGAGACAGAGGCAGAAGTTGCATTCAAAATTGACAGGAAACGTTTTGGAAACTGCCGAGCCACTGACCTTCGTTCTCAGGCGGCTGTCTGCCCATGTTGACGTTTTCGTACAGTGGCTCGTCCATTGCAGCAGCGCCCTCCGGCTCCTTGTCCTTGCCTTGCAGGACGTCAGAAACAGCCTGGTGGATGAAAATGTACTGTGCCTGCACGGGACACAATTACAAACACTGTTAGCTTAGCTACTCAGCCATTCAATGCCATATTTTGTAAATTTCAATTAGAGGTAACATTTGCAACATGTACAATGTTTACCTTCACATGGTCTAGCCTATACTCAAACACACTGCATATATATGGTGAATAGCCCCTACAACTCTGTACTGCAACTTGCCACATAATGTAACAGGGTGTCTACTACAACACCAGAGTTACCATGGTGACAGCCGTCTGGTCCAGCTCATGAGTTTATGAGTTTCGAGAGGATGAAGAAGAAACTGAGTAAAATCAGTAATATGTTTTCCTTTCAGCAAACTTCAAGGTAAACATAATAGTATTACACAAAGTATATAAAATGTACATGTAGCAGTACTGACCTCCGTCTGCACCATGAAGACCCTGTGTTTCCTCATCTCAGACACGATGCCGAAAATGTCGACCTTGTCGTGGCCGTCCTCGATGTCCTGCAGCAGCCGGTCCAGCGCGATGAAGGTACCGGTCCTCCCCACACCGGCACTGGGGATTAAAACATCGATGTGAGACAGATTCCAGTAACTCAGACTTATAAAGCTGCATTATGATATTACATCATGTCACCAGCACTGCAGTCAAACATTGGTTTGAGATCAATTTTATACATGTACCTAAATATGATGACAGATGCTATCATTTGCACATAAAATGCAAGTTCTTTCACAGTACCCTTATAGATTCCTTCCAGCCTGAAGGGAGACTTTCATTTCTTGTCAGTCTGCAGTTACACCATTTTCCCATTCAATCCCTGCCAATCTACTGCATTTAAATAACTATGGAGGAACAAACACACCATAACTACTGTTGTGCATAAGTGTTGGGAGACTATTCGACCTCAGTTTCAACCCTAACTTACTGCCACTCTACTGTACTGAAATAGCTATCATAATGGAAACACAAGTAAACAGATATTCAAGCAGACACCAAGCCTCTGTTTACCTGCAGTGCACGATGACAGGGTTCTTGTTGTCCTGCGGGATCAGTCCCCGAACCGTCCGTACAAACTTCAGCAGGGAGATGGTCGTGTCAGGAACACCGTGGTCAGGCCACACCGTGAAGTTTAGGTGCCGCACGGTCCTGGTCTCATTACCCTGACAAAGAGAAAAATAACACTTGTAAATAATGGTGTAACTAACAGTTAGTTAGATCTTGATCTGAACCTGTATAGCCGGTATAACTGCCCTTCGGCGTAACACACCAGCTTCGCAGGCACGTAGCACGGCGGCAGCTAGCTATATCACACTGAACGACTTGTTACACTCAATACTGTATCTGTAGATGTGTTTTAAGCTTGACTGTATTTGTAGCATGTAGCATGAGACTAAAAACCTATAAACTAATCATTATCAGTTGGGGTCGTGTGGCGCAATGGCAGAGTGCTCGACTCAGAATCAAGAGGTCCCAGGTTCGAGTCTAGACATGCCACCAATCTTGTACCCTTAAGAAAGGCACACGACTTTCCCCACAAAACCCATTGAAAATGAGTACTGTCTGTCCTGTATCTGTTTCTATGTGTGGGACACAACACAAGCAAGTCTCTTAGTGTCACTGACAAAAGGTAGTGGATGCTACCTGAAATGTCTGACCGTTGCTTGAGTAACTGTTTTTTGGCGTATGTTGTACACTCACATGCTGTAGTGTGAAGTCCCTGACGGTCCATTCTGGTAGGACTGACTCATTCACCATGTGGACAATGATGTCACCGTAGTAGACTGGCTCATTGTCATATGGCCAGTAGTGGTCACATTTCACCTGTAATAGTCACAAGTAATAACATTAAAACTAGCAATGTCCTTGGTGCTGAAATTACTGTATAACAGTCCTATAAACCTCAAATGTTTTTGTGGCAAACTGTCCACTGCAAAATCATGACAATGTGAATATCCATCTCCACTGCACTACAGAATTGTTTCAACATCAGGCACACAGAAAATCTTCTTTTCCTTCCTTCCTACAGCATTTACATTACAACAATGTAACTGTTACTGTTGCCCTATCTAAAAACTGTTGCTTTCCTTGGTGCTGAAATCCCATTAAAAGTGAAGAGACTGAGGGGCAGTTTCAATACCCTTCCCTTCTCCACACTTAACACACAGAGAAAACCTCATTTCCCTTCCTACAACAAATATAAGTCCCCACAAACACAATTTCAGTACCTTGTGCCCATGGGAAAGACACTTTACACGACTTTCCTCAGTTAACCCAAGTGAAAATGAGTATTGTCTGTCCTGTATTTGTTTCTATGTGTGGGACACAACACCAGCAACAGCCACCTGTGTCCCACGTGTATTTATTATTACAATAATTTCAATAAATCAAATGAACTGTAACAATCTCTAAAAACTATTGCTGTCCTTGGTGCTAAAATCAAAGTGATAGTGAAATGACTGAAGCAGTTCCCGTACCCGTCCCTTCTCCACACACTGCGTCACCATGACGATGATAGAGGTGTTCTGTTCCCACACCATCCGCCAGAAGTCATCCTTCGTCCCCGGCAGCGGACCCTGGGAGGCGATGAACTCACGCTTCGAGCTGTAGCCCTGGGGTGGGGGGGAAAGATGCGGTAAATCTTCAAAAAGACACATTTGCTGATGGACCCAATTTGAACATGTAAACATAATCAAATGCACATTCAATATTGCACACAATACATTTACATGAAGTTTACAAAACTTAGTTACAGTTCTAGTTTAGTTACATTCTATATAATTAAATATAATATACATGTAAATGGCCTGCTTATGTCCATTTTATGCAGTACTATGTTTTGTATTTGTTATCCCAATGTTGTGATTTTGTTTCTTATTTTTTATGAGCAAAGGATCCTTATACGCACATTATGTGCTTTCTGTCCAATGCTTTCAAACCTACTGAATAAAATGAGATAAAGCTGTGCTTTCCTTCACAAACTTAGTCAGTCATTCTGTCATTTATAGGAACTGACCAGGAATTATACACCTCAGAACAGGTCATTAACACTTAATTAATGTCAACGTGTCATGACTTACAGGCATATAACAGGCATTGATATAGTCTGACCCCTCCACATCATCAATGGCTGCAAGTTTGGTCCTGGTGTTGTCATCTGTAAAAATTGACAAAGATCACCATAATATATTCTGTCAAATTAAGTACTGGTAAACACCAATTAGTACATACAATTGATCGATAAATGTTTAAGCTGCAAGCTAAGTACTATGACTCTATTATAATGATTGCTTAAATTTACTGACTGTTAACATTAAACTACAATGAGTCATCGAGCCCTCTTTACATTAAAAAAAAATTTGATTCCCTTACATTTATGATTTGAAATAAGCCCCTGGGCCATGAAGTAACGATAAACACAACACTTACAAGGCAGGATGTTGGTGTACCGGTTCTTGCCCACATTCTCCGGCAGTGAGGCTGCATTACGAGACTGCTCTGTGCCAACGTGCTTCAGTTTCTGTGAGATATAAAAAACATAGCAATGAACATCAAACTTCAAACATCAGAGCACACAATCATCACTCAACATGTAGGCGTTCAGTAGTTTGGCAGCCACAGACATTTTGCATTAATTTTCTTGCGCCAGAAACTACCTTATTGTGTAAATTACTACTAAGTATTTTGTTTACACAACATGTAAAAATTATGGACTTCTTAGACATACAATGTACATGTGTAGTAATACTATCAAATAAGGAAAACAGAGGACTTTTTTTAGGGAATATGAAAAAACATTATCATATAAGACATTTACCTCATACTCCTCTGAGTATTGGTACTCTGAGTCCCTGCTCATGTCGGTGTGATATTTCACAAAGTCTGTCAGCTTTATCGGCCTGATGGAAATTCAAACAAAAAACTAAAATCAGTACACAAGTCATCGATTATCGTTAGACATCAAGGTAGAACATTATGTAGTACAAAAAAATGAATTCTCTGAAGAGTCAGACATTTCAGATGGGTTCCTTCCATGTACCAGAGTGGCACATTGAAATGTGGTTCATATGGGGTGACATATGGTACATTTCCATAGGTACAAGCATTAAGCCACCTGCCTAGTAAGAAGGCCACCTGCCTAAAAAGACCACTACTACAAGCCAACTTACTTGTTCAGCACTCTGGGCACCTTGGGCTGATTGTTGCTGTATTCTTCCATCACAAAGGAACGGTTCTCACGACCCACAGGTCCATTACTGGAGTCACGTGATTTCCTGAAAAAGGAGAAATTTATATTTAGTATATGGCATCTGTGTAGTGTAGTGTAGTGGATAGAGCATCCGACTGTCAAGCAAGTAGACCCAGGGTTGGACCCCGACATGTCCAGACATGCACCTAGACGTTGTGCCCTTGGGAAAGGTACTTTACACGTATTTCCCCCTCAGTTAGAGGGTTCCTGGGCCCTACTAGGGTTTGGGTTGGCGTTAGGAAGGGCATCTAGCCATACAAACCTTGCTTCAAAAAAAGACTTGCACATAGTGCAAGCACATTCAACCCCCATTTCTGGGCAAAATGATGTTAAAATTGATCTAACTGCAAGACTCTGTGTTGCTACATGTATCTAGTGAGGATGCCCCTACCGTACTTTGTGGCAGTGACTTCCACTCTTACTACAAAAGTTCTTGGAAAAAACAAATTGATATGTTCAGTACGAGACTTACTTGTTTTTCCTTCTGTACCAAAAGATTCCACCTGCGATTAAGGCAATTGCGGCCAATACTCCAACAACCACACCTATGATTAGTCCTATTGGGCTTGGTTCTTCGGCTGTATATCATTGGACAAAAAGAAAGAAGTCTTTAGGGTACAATACCTACAATGTACAATACAATGTACAATGTAGCTTTGTTCAACTTACAGAGTATGAATTGAAAACATTGACTATCTACCACTTTAATTCATTTCATTCACTTGTTCATTTTTAGTTGACAGTGTTCAGCACACACACATTCAGCCAGGGCTGCCCAAACAGCCTGAAGTTATTGCAAGGGGCTTGCCCTGGTAAAAAGGGGAAAAATTACAATGGAATTGGACATACATTAGACAGTTTTATTTCATTTACTAGATTATTGAATTTTGAAACAGTTGGGTAGCCCATTAAATTCTATTCAATTGTTTTTCAAGCAGTGTGATTATTTATTATTAATAACTCAATAGACTTTCATTCAACTGAATATATTTATTCAGTATAAATTATCTGTTATTAAATAAGTAAATTTGTGGAAGGGAGTTGCAAATGATTCACCTGTTTTTATGATTTCTGAGGGTTGTGTTTCTCTGCAGTAATACAGGTCATCTGAGTTGCAGGGATTGTTTGCACAGCTTTTGGTGCAGCCTTGAAGCACGTACCTGTTGAAAAGAAGAGTACACATATTTGAATGAAAATACAGTGATGGTAATTGTCTTTATAAAGCTGCACTACTTTCATGCACAAAGTAAAGCGTTTACCAATTAGGAAAAGCTTTCAATCTATACTCTCAATCACAGACAGAAAATGTAGCCAGCTGCCGCCGCGCCGCATGCCTGCGAAGCTGGTGTGTTATGCCAAAAGTCGGTTATACCGGCTATACAGATACAGAAAACAGCAGATGCTGTATCTTAAATGTCTGACTCTTCAGAGAATCTATATGACGAGTTGCTTGATCTATTTTGTATCTACCTGGATCGATGATTCTAGACTAGGATATATGGATATTAGGGTAATTGAATAGGTCTGAGTTTAAGTTTACAAACTGTACATTTATTTAATACTGAATGAAATACCCACTTATATTGGGTATTAGGCTTCAAACGACCATTGCAGTATACATCCGCCTCATTTTCACAGGTTGAATTATCCCCTATGGGGATTTCTTCAATGTTGCGTCGACGGCGGTTGCTCGTGCCTGGAATAAATTCTGCAGCCTTGTAGAACTTGTACCGCGTGTCTCTATCATCAGATTTCCTTACACTGTACCAGCTCAGAAGTTTCCCACCATGTTCAATGACAATGTCATCTCCTGTAATCAAAGTTTCACAAGATTTCACAGTGATTTTCTGGGACTGCAACTGGGAATTAACAAACCGAGTGAAGGTGTCATTAAGTCTCAGGACTACAGATTACCTTCATAATCAAGAAATGAAAACAAGACTCTAAGAAGACAAATCAGCAATTTTTAGTCTGACCATGCAAAAGTTCTTTTGAACATTAAATTTTTAACTTTTTACAATCAACATGATATCAGATAAATTTTCACTTCAAATAAGGGTGAAATGTTTAATACAAGTTACGAGAACAAAATGACATAGAAAATGTAATCTCCAATATTATCAATATTATCATCACCACACAATTAATGGAAAACTTACCTGACTGCATTTGTTGCTGTTCTTTGTTGTACTCTTGGATGAGAACGTTATACACCTGTAGTGGCCCACTGCTGTCATCAAAGAGGCTGGTATCCAGAAGGACCGTGAATGAGGAAGTTCCAAGTGTTCCCTCAAGTGGATCTGGAGGCTTTGCTGATGTGTTTGTTAACCCTGGTAGGCCTAGAACAATAGAACAAGAAATTAAAGATTTTACAGTCACAGGTGTTAGTAACAGTTGTGACAATTTGAGTTCACTTTGGGCACTTTTGACTCTTATGTACCGATTATGACTTTGTATTAAGTTCTTTAATTCTATTTAATGTTTCCAGTCTGACATTTTGATTCAGACTTTGATTTATGTTTCTATGATTTCTGTACCTTTGTTTATGTTCATGTTAATGTTTATAAGCCCATATGGGCTGGGCGACAAAAGTCGCAAGACATGTAAATAAAAATTTATTCATTCATTCAATTCATTGTATTCTTAAATCAACACGTTGCAGTTTTAAAATTGATACACTTGGAAATTCAAATTCTGAAAGTAATGATTGTGTGACTGTGAACGCTTAATGTATCATCATCTTCACATAAAACTGGTACTTCACTCTGACATATTCTCCATCAACAACTTCTGGAAACACTACGTCAACTGGTATTCAAACAGCCCGTCCATTAAACTTCCCTAACATTGTATTTTAATCTTTCTGTTATATACTTGTATCTTTGTGTATCTGTATTTTTTAATTTTATGTTCTGATATGGGCCGTGTTCCTGCAATAAAGAATGTGAATAATATGCTAAAATGCATTGTTGTCTATACCTGTGTCAGTTTTACACCTAGCGGTGACTTCAGCACTGCGTCGATTTCCGCTGACAGTAACCACAGTAAAGGTATACTGTGTGTTGGGATCCAGACCATTAACTTCAGCTGATGTTTCTGCCGTCTCAATATTTCCCTCTCCATTTTGACCTGGTGTTACATCGTAGTTGTTAAGCACTCCAACAGGTCTTGTCCAGATCAGGTCAATTCGATGTTCTCTTTCGACCATAGTACAGTTAAACCCAACAGGGCTCTCTGGTACTGAAACAGAATAGAAATAATTCCTCAATTAAAAAAAAAGGAGTGAATCATGTATCAAATGGGTTGTTATTGCGAGTTGATGCACAATGCACAGATTAAGAGAGAATAATTACAAGGGAATTAAGTTAAATTTTACATTTGTCACCCTTACCAACTAAGATCCTTGCTGAATTCTATAATATACATCGTACATGTATAACCCCCTTAGGAAGGTCTGAAGGAGGCTAGCCCAGGCTAACAGTACATGACTACTAGAGTCATAAAAAAGTTGAACAAGGTGAGTGACTAGCTATAGTCTAAGGTGCCTGCATGCTGATGGCATTTTTTCTGGTAGTACTGTAACAGTGACCTTTTTTGTACACTTTCTGTACACACACTCATAATATTATATAACACTCCATTTTACATGTTGTTCAGTCACTGTGATAACGTACAATCAATATAATACTTGGTATTTGTGTCCATGTATTTGTATATATCTACATGTATCTGCAGCTTTGACATAGATCCACTTACTTGTTCTGACTTGGGTGTAGTCACTTTCACTCTCGACATTTGCACTGTAAGCCAACACCGATATATCATACAGTTCTCCCGGAATCAGATCTGAGAGAGTGGTTACGTTGACATTTTCATCATCAATAGTTATATTTTTCATGTCACTAGGGCTGCTTCCATAGGACACTACATAGCCATCGAACTGTCCTAAATCAGGTTTCGCCCATGTCACATTTATAGCAGTGGTGTTCACAAAACTCTCTCTCAGGTCTGTTGGCTTGTCAGCCTCTGTTAATGAAAAAAAAGGACAACAGTTAAGACACATAACTTCCAAATCATCAACTTGGCAGAAAGTACTGTGATTTATAAGAAGCTGTAAGAAGAATTGTTTGTGAAATTATTCACCAAATATACATATGAAACTGAAATGGTTAACATTTCAAGTTTTAAACTTTGTTAAGAAAAGAAAGAAAAAGATTACTAGTCTTTAAAGTAGTTGCTGGTTCCTGGCCATGGTCACCTTTGCTCCAAGAAAATTGGTAAGTGATTCAGTTAGTGATTGGTCCTGAGGTACATTTCACAGAAAAATAACATATAGTTACTAGACAATTAATGTAGTTGAATTTTTCCATGCTCAGTGGAAAATGATTAGTAAACAGTGCATTTGATGTTCAATAGCAGTGCCAGTCAGATATTAGATTGCACAAAGTCATTTTGAAGTTAATATCTCTCATTCCTTGTTCTTTACAAGACATCATCATGCAACCAAAGGCAGTTGCCAGGTTACAAAATTGATTGACTTGTTGCAGGAGAAAGGATGGTCAGAGTTGTCAATTTCATGCGGTGATTCGATGATTTGGGTTAGATGTCTGGCTGAAGTTCCTTGAAACTCACTTGTCCTGACAGTCAGAGGTCCTCCTTCTGCCTCCTGGCTGACTGTAAGACTGGGTTCAGCACTCACAGACACCAGACTGATGGTGTACTGAACACCTGGGGACAGTCTTGTCAAAGTGGTGCTAGTGGTGCTTTTGTCAACTTCCTCTACGTAACTGTCAGTAGAGTTGGTATATGTGATCCTGTACTTGGCAAATGTAGCATTGTTGTCACTGTCAGGGGCAGCCCAGCTCAGACTGATGGTGGTTTCATCCTTGCTTGTCATGGCAAAAGTCTTTGGTGCATTGGGGTCTGCACGATTTAGAAAAGATGCCGTGGTTGTAAGGTGGAAACACTGACAATACACAAGGTCCTTCTAGTGTTAACCAAAACTAGTATAATAATTATGATAATTAAATTATATATTATTGTGAGGATGAGAAGTTTGAACAATGAAAGGTATATTGTAATTAGTACATATAATGTACTAATCAATTCTTCACCATAGATGTGACATGTTAGTTGGTCAGTCAACAGTGTTGAACATAATCATTGGTGAATAATGTTTACCTACATGTAGCTGAGAAGTTTTTAAAAGACATTCAACATCTGTCACCAGAATTAACCTCTCACCATGAATATATGATGTTAGAGGATCAAGACATTCGTCCAACAAAAGACTCATTATCATGTATGATAAAACATTGCACATGGTGGAATTTGAGTTACTAAGAAGATTAAAATGTTGACAATCAAAAAGTCATCAACATAAATCATACATGTAGAAGATGCAGACAGTGATTTGCCCAACAAAAGAGTTAACCAGATGAGTAGTTAGAAGATGCAGACAATGACTTGTCCATCAACAGAGTTAAGCTGATGAGTAGTTTACAGACTGTCACAATAATTTTTCATCAAAAGAGTTAAACAGATGAGTATAGTTAGAAGATGCAGACAATGATTCATCCATCAACAGAGTTAACCAGATGCTCCTTCTCATACATGGTAGACGTTAGGTGATTTCAGTCACCAGAATTAACCAAAGAAGCCTTTGCCATGATTGACACATGTTACATGTATGTGATCTGAGAAGATTGTGACATAGGACATACAACTGTTTGGTTGTAGGGAACAACTCACTTGTCCTGACAGTCAGAGGTCCTCCTTCTGCCTCCTGGCTGACTGTAAGATTGGGTTCAGCACTGACGGCCACAAGGCTGATGGTGTACTGAACACCTGGGAAGAGCTCCTCTAAGTTGGCACTGGTGGCAGCAGGGTCAGTGACCTCTTTAGTCTGCTCAGTACCCCCAGATGGGGTGTATGTGATCCTGTACTTGTCAAATGTTGCATTGTTGGCACTGTCAGGTACAGCCCAGGTCAGGCGAATGGTTGTTGTGTTAACAGTGACTCCAGTGAAGCTCTTAGGAGGATTTGGCACTGTACATATGGAGAAGATGTCAAACAGTTTTAGTTTTTTGGTGATTATTTGATCTAGAACGTAGGACCACAAAACTTAGATCTAAAACTTTTGTTGGAACACTGTGAACATAAGGTGAAAAAATGGAAGAAAAAAACGTCAGTAAGTTTGTAAGTTACTAGATATGTCTATCATTCTGGAGAGATAGCTGAAAGAAAAATAACATGATCACTGTCATACAAGTCATGACTCTTATCTCAACTGGTAGAATATAATGATACAATGTAATGTAGTGGATAATACAAGTATACAGTCATTGTGGTACGTACATTGTACATGTTGCAAAAAAAATAAGAAAAGGATGAATTTCAATCTATGAAAAACAGCATTTGCTGTTAGTCAACCTAACAATGAGAAGATTGCAACCGCTGGATTTCATCATCATAAATGAAAGACGGTATGCTTACTTTGTATCCAGAAACCCTTCACCATGAGGTGCAAAGACAATTATATTCGATGATCATCAGATAGACCATCTTGCACATGAAAGATGGTTAACATGCTGGTCAAGAAAGTGGAATGGCCAAAGATGTCATTTAAGGAAACCAAGACAATGAAAGACCTTTCACCATGAATGTGAGATGGATGTTAGTCAAGATGAATATGACATTGGTCAAAGGAGAAAGTTGTGACCACAAAGAAGCCTTTACTATTGAAGAGAAAAGTACAATCTGGTATAACTTGACAAGGTCTTCTAACTGATTCTGGTCATGGTCTGCTGCTACATTTCAAGGTAGAAATGAAAGTGGAATACTTGAAGGAAACAAGAGGGTGCAGGATATGGAGACAGCTGCCTACGGGTTAGCCTGAGGTTGATCTGCTGTAAAACACAGCCTGAACAACTCACTTGTCCTGACAGTGATGGCAGAGCCTCCTGCTCTCTCACTGACTGTAACATTGGGTTCCTGACTCACAGCAAACAGACTGATGTTGTACAGAACACCTGGCGACAGTCCTACTAAAGTGAGGTTGGTGAAGGTGGTCTCTTCTTCTGGTATCACTGTTAGATTGTTGTCTGCCCTGGAGTAGACGACTCTGTACTTGGCAAATGCTGCATTGCTGCTACTGTCAGGCTCAGTCCAGTTCAGGCCAATGGTTGTCGTGGTAAAAGTTGTAACAGCAAAGTCTTCTGGAGCATTTGGGTCTAAATGTGCACATTAATTTTCATTCAGTAACATTGGATGTGCATACATGTACACATTGACTTGCTTTAGACTGTTAAAATGATTCTGTACTGCATGAAGTATTGCATCAAACAATTCTTACAAACTGGAACATACTGAGTAGACCTGTTAGAACTACACAGAGACAAGTGAAGAAAAAGCTAAATTGCACATGGCCCAATAAAAAGCAAAGGAACTTGCAGATAAAAAGACATCCATCACTTGGATGTAAAAGACCATGATGATAGAAGTTGCAAGAAAGGAACTTCAAGACTCTGTGCATCTCCAGAGATGTAGGTTAGCCCAAGGCTCATCTGCTAAAAAGTTTAGGAGTGTCAGACTTTTGACTGAGAGCTGTCATGCAGGTTAGCCTGAGGTTGATCTGCTGTAGAGCACAGCCTGAACAACTCACTTGTCCTGACAGTCAGAGGTCCTCCTGCTGCCTCTGCACTGACTGTAAGACTGGGATCATGACTTACAGACTTCAAACTGATGTTGTACAGAACACCTGGGGACAGTCCTGTCAAACTGAAGCTGGTAGAGGTGGTGTCCTGTGTTTGGTTGCCATGTTCACTGGAGTAGGTGACTCTGTATTTATCAAATGTGGCACTGCTGCCACTGTCAGGTGCATCCCAGCTGAGTTCAATGGTGGTTGTGGTAAAACTTGTGACTGCAAAGTCTTCTGGAGCATTTGGATCTACATGAGACAGTTTTAGGTGACATTAATGTGCATACACCTTGACTTGCAAAGAAATTAGTTCTCCTTGATGATGAATATTGTTACATTGCATCAGTCACTTATTAGGCACAACAGGAACATAATAGTGGTAACTGAGTAGACCTGTAGATCTACACAAAGACAAGTAAAGAAGAGGCTAAATTGCACATGGTCCAAGCAAAGGAACAGGCAGATGGGAAAAAAAAACATCATTGGGACATGGAAGTCCATAGAAGTTGTGCGAAAGGAATTTCAAGATTTTGTGCATCCAAAGATATTGTACAATAGCCTGGGGCTTGTCTGATGTTAGAATAAAAGATAAAGGCTGCTGTTTGGGTTAGCTTGAGGTTGATCTGCTGTAGAGCACAGCCTGAAGAACTCACTTGTCCTGACAGTCAGAGTTCCTCCTGCTGCCTCTGCACTTTCAGTAGGGTTGGGTTCAGCACTCACAGCAACAAGACTGATGCTGTACAGAACACCTGGGGACAGTTCTGCCAGAGTGAAGCTGGTGGTGCTTGGATTATCTATCATAACTTGGGTCTGACCATTACTCCCAGGTGGGGTGTATGTGATCCTGTACTTGGAAAATGTTGCACTGTGGGCACTGTCAGGTACATCCCAGCTCAGCCCAATAGTTGTTGTACCTTGAGTTTCACCAGCGAATCTCTGTGGAGCATTGGGCTCTATGGAAACATTGTGAATAATTGTAGCTCAACTTATGTTACAGAAGTAAAAAAAACACAGGTGAATAACACTTGACATTGATACGATGTAGTTAAAGCAATTTGGCAAGGGTGGGGAATGAATAAAGAACTACAGTCTTAATGTAGAACAGATAAGTGTCATTATGGGATGAAGGGTTTTATTTATCAACAGAGAAATATACGTTAGACAAAACAGCATTTGACAGAAAAAGATCTTGCCATTCTGCAAAGGAATTAAGTTTTGACTGCTTTTTATTCTGCAGCACAAGCTGCATATGATCTAGACACTGATGGAAACAAAAACATCAGTGCAGAGAAGTAGAGAAGAGGATGCAGGACTTTGGACTGAGAGCTGCCATACAGGTTAGCCTGAGGTTGATCTGATCTGCTGAAGAACTCACTTGTCCTGCCAGTGATGGCAGAGCCTCCTGCTCTCTCACTGACTGTAACATTGGGCTCCTGACTCACAGCAAACAGACTGATGCTGTACAGAACTCCTGGGGACAGTTCTGTCAGGCTGGTGCTGGTGGTGCTTGGATTATCTATCATAACTTGGGTCTGACCGTTACTCCCAGGTGGGGTGTATGTGATCCTGTACTTGGCAAAGGTTGCACTGTTGCCACTGTCAGGTGCATCCCAGCTTAGTTCAACGGTGGTTGTGGTAAAAGTTGTAACAGCAAAGTCTTCTGGAGCATTTGGATCTACATGAGACAGTTTTAGGTGACATTAATGTGCATACACCTTGACTTGCAAAGAAATTAGTTCTCCTTGATGATAAATATTGTTACATTGCATCAGTCACTTATTAGGCACAACAGGAACATAATAGTGGTAACTGAGTAGACCTGTTAGATCTACACAAAGACCAGTGAAGAAGAGGCTAAATTGCACATGGTCCAAGCAAAAAAACAGGCAGATGGAAAAAAACATCATTGGGACATGGAAGTCCATAGAAGTTGTGAGAAAGGAATTTCAAGATTTTGTGCATCAGACTAAAGATATTGTAGGATAGCCTGGGGCTTGTCTGATGTTAGAATAAAAGATAAAGGCTGCTGTTTGGGTTAGCCTGAGGTTGATCTGCTGTAGAGCACAGCCTGAAGAACTCACTTGTCCTGACAGTCAGAGGTCCTCCTGCTGCCTCTGCACTGACTGTAAGATTGGGCTCCTGACTCACAGCAAACAGACTGATGCTGTACAGAACTCCTGGGGACAGTTCTGTCAGGCTGGTGCTGGTGGTGCTTGGATTATCTATCATAACTTGGGTCTGACCATTACTCCCAGGTGGGGTGTATGTTATCCTGTACTTGGCAAAGGTTGCACCATTGGTATCAATTGGTGCAGTCCAGCTGAGGTCAATGGTTGTTGTGGCAAAAGTTGCAACAGCAAAGTCTTCTGGAGCATTTGGATCTAATAGATGGGAACCAAATTCAGTTACAGGAAGAAAATCACTGGTGATTGAAACTTGGCATTGATGTTTAAAGCAAACATTTGGCAACTGTGGAGTAAGAAAAATAGACTGGGGTACTTAACACTTGGCTTCATAGATGAGTGTCATTAAGGAATTGAGAGCCCAGGGTTTTATCAAATAACAGGGCATGATAAAGAAAACAGAGCTCAACAGAAAAAGAGTTGCCGATTCTGCAGTGTTGCCTAGAGCAAGAATCAGAGATGTGAACCTCTTATCCAGTAGCTGCTTTTAGCTTCATGTTGTTCCAGACAATGATGGACACAAAACCATCAGTACTGAGAAGTGAAGAAGAGGATGCAGGACTCTTGAGTGAGAGATGCCATACAGGTTAGCCTGAGGTTGATCTGCTGCAGAGCACAGCCTGAACAACTCACTTGTCCTGACAGTCAGAGGTCCTCCTGCTGCCTCTGCACTGACTATACTGTCATCTGCACTCACAGCCACAAGACTGATGGTGTACAGGACACCTGGGGACAGCCCTTCCAGGTTGGTGGTGATGGTAGTTGTGCCAGGGACCTCTTTAGTCTTATTGGTACCCCCAGATGGGGTGTATGTGATCCTGTACTTGGCAAACGTTGCGTTGTTGGCACTGTCTGGAGGAGCCCAGTTCAGACCAATGGTTGTTGTACCTTGAGTCTCACCAGTGAAGGTCTGAGGAGCATTGGGCTCTATGCAAACATTGTAAATAGATGGAAATCAACTTTAGAATAGAAAATAATTCTGACACTTGATAGTTAAAGCATGCCTCTGGCAACTGATGAGTATGAAGGTTAGATGCACTCTTATAATTGAACAGATGAGTGCCAATATAAGAAGAGGGGACTTACAAAATGTATATACAGGCCTAGGATAGACCTAGTAGCATGACAAAAAAAAGATTTTGCCATTCTTCAGAGAATGAGAGAATTTGACAGTTTCTTGGCCAGTAGCATAAGCTGCATGTACATGTAGTTCCAGACATGAGTACAAAACATCAGTGCTGAGAAGAGGAGAGGATGATGTCAGATTCTTGAAGGAGAGTTAGCCTGAGGTTGATCTGCTGAAGAGCACAGCCTGAACAACTCACTTGTCCTGCCAGTGATGGCAGAGCCTCCTGCTCTCTCACTGACTGTAACATTGGGCTCCTGACTCACAGCAAACAAACTGATGCTGAACAGAACTCCTGGGGACAGCCCTGTCAGGGTGAAGCTGGTGGCAGTGGGGTCAGGGATTTCTTCAGTTTTATTGCCATGTTCACTGGAGTAGGTGATCCTGTACTTGGCAAATGTTGCTCCATTGGTATCATTTGGTGCAGTCCAGCTCAGGTCAACGGTTGTTGTGGTAAAACTTGTAACAGCAAAGTCTTCTGGAGCATTTGGATCTAAATGAGCATGTAAAACAGTTCTCACATGTTCAGTCATGTTGAATATGTTAAGTACTACTGAAAGCTCTTGCTTTGGACATCTTTACTTCTCCTTGATAGTTAATGGTGTTAGATTGATTCTGTTACAGTACGTGTATTTAACTAATAATAATATGCATGATAACATCTGGAATGCATAGTACTAGGTAGACCTGTCAGATCAACAATTAATTCTGACAAGGGGAGAAAAGACTTGAATGAGGTGGAAAAGACACTGCAAAGGAAATTATGAATGAAAAAAACTCATTGCAAAATGAAAGTCCACAGACCATGGCAGAATTTTCAAGATTTTTTGCATCCAGAGAGCCTGAGTCTCTTCTGGTGTAAAGTTGAGAAATGTCAACAGTCATACATGTATATCAAAGCTTCCATGCATGCAGGTTAGCCTGGGGCTCGACTGTTGTTAAGTTGAGAAGCATCTGAAGTCTGGCTTCTTGAATGAGAGTTAGACTGAGGTTGATCTGCTGTAGAGCACAACCTGAACAACTCACTTGTCCTGACAGTCAGAGGTCCTCCTGCTGCCTCTGCACTGACTGTAAGACTGGGTTCAGAACTGACAGTCACAAGGCTGATGCTGTACTGAACACCTGGGGACAGTCTTATCAAAGTGAAGCTAGTGGAGGAAGTCTCTTCTTCCACTACTGTTTGACTGTCTTCTGTCTTTGAGTAGGTGATCCTGTACTTGGCAAATGTTGCATTGTTGGCACTGTTGGGCTCTTTCCAGCTCAGATCAATGGTTGTTGTGGTAAAACTTGTTACAGCAAAGTCCTGAGGAGCATTGGGGTCTACACAAGCAAAACATATTACCAGTATGTGTGAAAAAGGAGATACATATACATGTACATGTATACCACAGGTATGCATGGATATTTTCCAAACCATTATGACATATATTGAATAATTCCATATATATATCCAGCTATAGATTCTGCTGTTGCACCTGAAGTTTAGCCATCAACCTAGACTTTGGGGAGAAATGTACATTTACAAGTCAGACAAAAAGAAACTAATTTTCACTGAAGAATTGTAAGCAAACTTACTTGTTCTCACTGTAATGTTTTTTCTGTCGCTTTCCATTCTGTTGTTACCAGTCCCACTCACAGCATAGACTTCGATGAGATACAGCTGACCAGGAGACAGGGCAGAAGGTTCAGAGGCTGTGGTAGTTCCACTGTCCACTTCCACAGTGGTAAGAACTACACCACCTTCTACTAGTGTGAAGATGACTTCATAGCCAGAGAACTCGCCCCCGGGTGAGGGACCCCAGGTTACTGTGATGTTTGTTGTGGTGACCATATCATCTGTTGGCTGGTTGATGTCACCAGGAGGACTAGGCCCTGAAATTTTTAGGAAGCAAACAGGTTCAATAATGGGCATATACATGTGATGGCAAACTGTCCAGACAGTTGTGGTGAATTATTCGGTGTTGGCAACCTGGCCTGGCAGCTAAAAAACCTCCGAATCCCATATAAAGCTGTGCATAGAATGTGTTTACCCATAGTAACATCTTTAAATTTTGTACCAGACATTGTCATGGCAACTGATTTTGGCAGTTACTGATTGACTGGTTCAGTAAACCAAAGCTCGATATATGTCAATCATGTCTAATGCCAGTTTCTGGCAGCAAAACAACTGTTACAATCATCTTATTGATACAAATTCTAAGTTAATGTCAGAGAACAGCATTAACATGGACATAGGTTGAGATTAATGGTTTCTAGAGACTCACTGGTCCTCTGTTGCTTTGTACTATCTGTACTGTCAGTTCCACCACTCTTAGCAATCACACTGATGGTGTACAGGGTTCCTGCTGTCAGACCAGTGAAGGTGTGCTCCAGTGCATTTAAGTTGGTGATGTCTTGACTTGGGTTGGGTACATCAGTTGTGGGGGAGATGCTGACAGTGTAGCGCTGCACATTTCCTGCTGAAGCTACCCAGGCAGCCTTCACGCTGTTCACTGTCACCTCAGTTATGGTGATATCTCCAGGTTGGGCAGCAACTGTATTTTTAGGAAAGAAAGGAGACTCTTGGCATTAGATGGCAAAACAGCTCAATTATGCAGAAAGACTGAGTAAATGGTATACATGTTATTTACATTATGATTACATATCTGATTCAGTAAACGGAATTTAATACATCAAGTCAACTACCATTTATAGAAAGCTTAATCTGTGTACTGCACAACAATGGCCTTTAAAAACACAAGAAACTTGATTGTAAATTAAGGTAGTTGACATTTAATGGATTAAATATCTTTCAAAAGAATTTTTCTCCCCGCCCTTGCCCAAAAAGTGCATTTTCATTAGTTTGTTTAAGTACAATTCCACAGCTTGGTACAAAACATGGCATTGTAAAAAAACTTTACTTTCTGGATACAATTACTAGGTTCTTACTTGTCCACTGGACTTTAGTACTTGGTGCGCTGTCCCCACCACTACTGACAGCTACAACCCTGATGTTGTACTCAGTTCCTGCTGTCAGACCGTTGAAGGTGTGCTCCAGTGTGCTGCTAGAGACACTTGCAGGTGTGTTGCCACCATGCTCAGGTGAGATGCTGACTCGGTAAGTCTCAGTACCACCTGTGGCAGGTGCTGCCCAGGTGATTGGGATACTGCTTACTGTCACTGCACCTATGGTGATCTCACCAGGCTGGGCTGGAGCTGAAGGAATTGGCAGAGGATCAGCTGCATAATTCTAATTTTCTTTTCTACAAAACTTGATATCAGAAGAACTACATGTAGAAAATATCTGGATGCATCACACACACATTTACAAACCAGATCTGTAAAATTTTACATTCAGAAAGATCAGAATTTTACAAGTAAATTAAGTCCAATTTCTGCAAACATAATTGACAAATAGGTAAGCTCACATTACTCATGTGCTATATGGTATATGTAAGGGCCAGCATGCTATCAAACTTTCTGGATACTACAATGTATTAGGTTCTTACTTGTCCACTGGACTTTAGTCCTTTCCACACTGTCCCCACCACTACTGACAGCTACAACCCTGATGTTGTACTCAGTTCCTGCTGTCAGACCGTTGAAGGTGTGCTCCAGTGTGCTGCTAGAGACACTTGCAGGTGTGTTGCCGCCATGCTCAGGTGAGATGCTGACTCGGTAGGTCTCAGTACCACCTGTGGCAGGTGCTGTCCAGGTGATTTTAATGCGGCTAGTTGTCACCTCTGCTGGATCAATGGTGATCTCACCAGGCTGGGCCGGAGCTGGACAAATTGGCCACAGAGGATCAGCATTAGATTGAATGATTGCTATTAATAATGACACAACTTATTATTAGCAGCACATGAACATGCTAAATAATACAATTTGCCATCGTGACAGTGAGTGTATTAGTCCAAACAGATGTGGCTTACAGTAACCATTTTAAACTGATTTTTTTTAATGTAGGGGCCGATGGTTTTTAAATGAGGACGGTACATTGTACACGTACATGTATGTGAATAGCTAAGTTGTATTTCACTGCAAATAAATAACAAAGTGTAGTTGGAGGGACATGTCACATGTACATGTATCTGCAAATTAACCAAGCTATATGAAACCACCTACTCCCAACTATTCACTAACCGCAAGAAATCTTATCTTCATACTTAATCGCTAAGAAAAATCTGATGATCACTATAACTTATCTAGTATATGTCACAACAGTATGTACATTGTATGATATTGTTTGTTTTCCTTTAGTTACTATCAACTTTTTGGGGGGTCAAATAACCTCAAATTTAAGGTGTATATGCACTGCAATTAAGCAAATTCTCAACTCCCCCCCACCACACACACACACATACATACATGTACAATACATTTTTCCTATATCACTAAATTGCAAAGATATTTATTTCAACATAAGCCCTTGGATGGCAAGATCTAGAATAACTCAATGAATAACAATGGCATTGTGCTATCCAAGAACTATTGGACAGATGCCCTATAAATAAGGCTGTTATTTTCTCTCTGGTTTCAGCATACAGAACATTTTACATGTATCTCTCATGTGCTTACCACCATGGACAGAAATAATTCAAAATAAATCCACTCTCATGTCATGAAGTGGGTAGTGACACTGTGAAACATTCTGATAAGTACTACTTACTTGTCCACTGGACTTTAGTACTTGCTGCACTGTCCCCACCACTACTGACAGCTACAACACTGATGGTGTACTCAGTTCCTGCTGTCAGACCGTTGAAGGTGTGTTCCAGAGTGTCGCTAGGAGTAGTTGCAGGTGTGTCGCTGCCATGGGCAGGTGAGATGCTGACAGTGTAGGTGTCTACAGCACCACTTGTAGGTGCTGTCCAGGTGATCTTAATGCTGTTAACTGTCACTTCAGGTGCGTTAACTGTTCCAAGTGCACCAGTAG